TTACACCTCCCAGCTGCAGTGCAGACAGTCACACTGCTATTTTTAGCATGCTACCTTGAGCAGAGTTAGCCTGTGTAAGTCTACACCCACTGGAAATTACACCTCCCAGCTGCAGTGCAGACAAAGCCTTAGAATGGAATTTTCAAAAACGTTCAGCTGTTGCCAATGTCAGCTCCCACGGTAGTGATGGGAGTTTTCAAAGGAGGCAAAGTTAGGCTGAGTCTGAATATATTTGAAAATCCCACATTTAACAAACAGAGTTGGGATTTTCCTGGACACTCAGGGAGTTAAGCCCACCAACTCTCAGAAAATCATGGAGTTTGGGCACCAAAGTTCCTTAAACTCCTTTGAAAATCCCACATAAGCTTTTCTACAGAAATGTATTTTAAATAAATATAAGCTAAAATTGGGGAGGGACAGGAAGAGATGATGCAAGGATCTTCTGGAGAAAGGATTACATGACTGTGTTTATCAGCCACGCAGGATGCTAGCTAATCAACTCCAAAAGCACCAGTAATCATGATGTTACGTTTAATGGCATTAGCAAAAGCTGTGGGCAGGGAATTTCAGGGATTGTCTTGTAGTCTTATCAAAACCAAGGATGTCTGGAACCAATTGGAGACTGTGAACCAATACCAGCTGCTACTTGTCTAAACCTTTTAAACTACGATAATTCTCCCTGCCCATGATTTATACACTTGAAGACTAAAGGGGAAAACTTACAATCTAAAAAGCAACAACTTCAAAGTAAAACACATCCTGGTCCAACATGTTAATTACAATCCTTGGGCTAGCAGCTACAATCCTTACTCTGCTTTTAACTTGAATGAGGCAAATATCCCATTGATTTCAGCCCGAGTTAAGACTAGAGGATTTAACCCCATGATGCACATACACAATAGCCCCTACTTCTAATTTAAGACAAGAGGTAAAAAAAAGTCAATGCAACAAACAATAGAAGGGAATGGAAGGAGGAGAAGAATGATAATGGGTACGGTAGGTGGTTACATGTATGATAGGCTAGCTAAACAGACTTGATGGTTTTGAGACATTAAAAAAAAAAAACCCATATACAACACAACTGAAAACACTTCTGGCCATCCACCCAGCCATTATCAATTGTAGGTAGGAGAAAGGAGAGGGCAGTCAGATTGCCTGGCCACATGGCAAGCTAGAATTCTTCCAGGTAACTGCAAGTATTTTGTTCGTAATAGTAAATGTTTTGATTGATAGACGGAGATCTGCAAAGCCAACTGGGGGGGGTTGGATGCTCAATTCCCATCAATGGCATCCAAGTCCCATTGGTTTTAAAATCTCAGCCAGAGGTTATAAATCTCCTTGAAGAAGTAGGTTTTGGAAAGGGAGTTAAAAGAGGACAGGGATTGGCATTGTATACATTATGGTCAGAAACAGAGGTCCAGTTTTAGAGAGGTGGGCATGGGAGAAAAACAAAGGGAGCATCCACGTAAGTGCCTTGAGAGAGAAAAAAATGAGACAAAGGCAGAAAGATAGAAATGAGATAAATTGTGGCAGATCTTGAAGACATGGATGAG